CTTTCCTGTAGACAGACATAGGCGTGTAGCGTGTACGAATTCTCTCTCTCTCTCTCTCTCTCTCTCTCTCTCTCTCTCTCTCTCTCTCTATCTCTATCTCTCTCTCTTTCTGTCTCTCGCTCGCTCGCTCTCTCTCTCTTTCTGTCTCGCTCGCTCTCTCTCTGTCTCTCTCCCTCTCTCTCTCTCTCACACACACACACACATATACACACACTCTCTCATATCAATATGTCACTCTCTTACACACTGTAAAAATTGAGCCATGTCACGGTAACGTACCCTCTGCACCCAAAAAAGCGTGTTCTTGAATGAATAAGATCTGCTGTTTGGCTAAACCGAGAGCATTTGCTTGTCTTCATACAAATTGCATTGGTACAAATGAAAATTGCATTGGCCTGATACAAATGTTCTTGCGAAATCAAGGGTCAAGAACATACTTTTCGGGGTGTGCGGAAAAAGGGTTCTCTCAGGTTTTCTCGAAGAGGATACGGTTTACTTCCGTACTTCTCGGGATTCAAATCAACAGGAACTTTTCCGTGCATTTTCCGTACCTGCAGTTTCATTAATATGATAGGCTCAAATGGGAAAGACGTTACGGAAACGAGAAACGTAGTGACCGCTAATAAATAAAACGGTTATTCCCGTCTTAGTGACTGTGATTTTTTTACAGTTCACTCTCATTCCATCATCTACCTCTTCTACCAGAACTCCGCAGAAAGATGCCTATATTTTGACCGAAAGGCTTCACTTTGCGCACCTTGACGAACAAGTGGCGATCCTGATCTGGGGTGGCCTTAGATTCTCTTGTAGTACGGCAGGGCTCGGTTTCGGAAAAGCATATCGGCGGCAGCTGGCTAGATGCTTCATATCGCCAAAATGTTCCATTGGACGTGGCGGACTTGGATATCCACGTTGTTGAATTTCAAATCCGTTTTATAAAACTAATTATTGCACATTCTGATGGGAAAAAGTAGTATTTTACCGGCTCGTTCGATCGAACAAGAGACTTTTGCAGAGCTCTTCTGTCACCTTTTTTGAGTTTAAAATCTACATGCTAGTGAAATAAAGAAAAAGCTCTCTATTTTCATCTAAGTTTGTTGCGGTTCTTTTAACATATATTCTGTAGGTTTATAACACTGTGCTCAAGAACTACTTTGAAATTTTATGACCATTTCATAATTCAAAATAGTTCATACGCAAAGTGATGACCCTATAGACTATATGTTAAAAGAACCGCAACGAACTTAGATGAAAATAGAGAGCTGTTTCGTGATTGTGACACAGACGGAATATTTTAACTGCCAAGAACTGCAAGGGTAAAATTTATAACATATCGTTGTTTTGTTTTTTTAATCATTGGTACACATTCCATCTGCAACAAATGTCTTCACCATAGTTACACATTGAATCACAGATGGCTCACAAACATTATGTTGTTCTGTTGCAGAGAGCTTGACTCACGGGGACCTCTCCATCAACCAGACAATAGAACTAACCAATTTGGATTTAAATCCTGTTCCATATGCCACATGAGAGAGGTATGTTATTAAGCAGACGATATTTTAAGCATTACAGGGTGTCTTAGTATTACCATGTTTTGGTTATACTGTACCCCGTGGAAGTGGGCTTGCCAAGCGAGATCTCTTTGCGATGCACGTACATTCACGCGCATGACACAGTTGTTTCATACAATGCCATTTTTGCCGGGGTTTTTTGGCATCAAGGAAGGGTGACCTATACCGAGTGGCTGATTAACCCCGCTCACTTCTGTACTGTACCGCACGCATGAGTGTGGGCGGGCTTGCTTATCACCCCTTTCGGCGGCGCCTTACGAGTCGAGCAAATAGGCAACCTGGCCGCCTTTGTGCGGTACAGGATAACTACAGAATTGAACGGGGATAAATCAGCCACATAGCCACAGGGTTCTAATTGAAAAAGAGAAAAGCTTAAACGTTTGACAGACGAACCCACGTCGCTTGACCGGATCTATTGATTAATAAAAGAGATCATAGTTTCGTCCCCGCGAGGGATCCTAAGCCAACTTTCGGGAAAAACCATGGTTGATTGATTCATGCATAAACCACGATTCTTGCCAGCGGTTAGGCTTTCCTCCGTTGAAATTTGTATGGGTCGGCCTACTTGCGTGCCATTTCGGCTAGAATAGCATTATGCTGAAATAACTGTGCGTCACGGGCCTGCTCGCACGCACGCACGCACGGTAAATAGAATGTCTTGAAATCCGAGGATATTTCTTTGATTTCAAGGTCGGGTGGATAATGTCAAGATTGGCCCTTGAAATCCCAGACTCTGTCTTGAAACCCGCAGCTTCCAAGGGAAAGCCTTGCAATTTTCGTACGTTATTAAAGGGTTTTCCTGAAAACACGATCTGGATACTTGTTGGTATTCAAGGGTTTTCCTTGAAGCATCCAGATCACGCTTCCAGATCATCCTTTAATACCATATGAAAATTCCAAGGCTCCCCCTCGGAAGCTGCGGGTCTCCAGACAGAGTCTAGGATTTCAAGGGCAAATCTTGAAATTATCGACCCGACCTTGAAATCCATTCGGGTCTTATGACGCCAAAATATTGGCGTCCTCTAAGGAACGCCAAATTTTGGCGTCATAAGACGCCAATTCTTGGCGTCCAGTAAAAGAACGTTAAAATTTGGCGTCTTGTAGGATTTGGCGTCATAGGACTCAAAAGTTTGGCGTCATAAGACGCTAGAATTTGGTGCCATAAGACGCCAATATTTTGGCGTCAAAAGACGCCAACCCATTTACAGTGTGGATTTCAAGGTCGGGTGGATAATTTCAAGATTGGCCCTTGAAATCAAGAAATATCCTCGGATTTTAAGATATTCGTTTTACTGTGCACACATACATTGCCAACTTTGTAGACCTATGTTGCTCACCGTGGCGCCTGTCGGCGCGTAACGAGTAGGCAACCCAATCACACGCCTAAGTGTGGTACAGCATAATCATCATAAAATGTGGGGTCCATCCGATACCCGGTATTCAATCACACGACAAGCTCAACATTTATAATACTGTCGGATTCCATGGGTCCCGTTGTCATGATATACAGCAATCTATTCTTAAACAATAACTTACGACCCAGAAAGCAGGTTGAGTGAGAGAGACAGAGGGATATTTTAATTGAATCATAAAATCCTACAGCCGCGTGAAAAGAGATGTACTTCTGCACTCAGAAAACCGATTGTTCAACTCAACGAAATTTAGTGTTGAGAAAACCAACGAAATTTTGTTTCCGTCGACCAAATTTCAATCGTGTTGATTGGATAATTTAGTCAGGTCGATATAAAGTAATCAGTTTGACAATATTTTTGGTTGAGCTGATCACATTTAATTTTAAAAGTTTTATTTAACGTTTCGTTGGATTTAGAGAGTAAATTTTGTTTCCTTCAACACGAATTTAGTCATAGGGACTAATAGCTTTTCTCGGTGTGGTGGTTTTCAAACCAGAGCCCTGCATCCGAGCGGCCTGGGATGCCTACATGGCGTCCGAAAGCGAATCGGAGTGAGAGGGAGCTATGGCCCGGCGCGAGCTTCTCGCTCCCACAACCGCTTTCGGACGCCATGAAGCCATCCGATGCTCGCTCGGTGCAGGGCTCTGTTTCAAACTAGACCAAAATATCCACTATGCCTCGAGCACCTTTCGATCTGCCGTTGAGTTTGCATACATCATGAATGTTTCAGGTTGCTAACAATGACAATCATTGTGTTATATAAGAAATCGGTAATTGTTCGCAGGTCGGTAACGGCGTGGGCCAGGAGTGCGTGGAGTGTAGAAGTCTTACCTGCCACATGTGTGGCGCCCTAGTTCCAGCGAGTCACGACGCTAGTAAGGTGGGGTCACATACTCTTAAATGCACATGTTATTAGTCGCAGAAAACATCCCAATGAAATGTCATCTCTTTTACAGAATACTGAATGGATGTGTAAAATGTGTATGAAAAGAACGAATGTACAACCCGTTCCTTGGCAACCGCCTGGGCATAGAAATCAGCAGCCTGGCATGACTGGTCAACAACAGCAGGTACATTTTCATGTTTCTTTACGTAGACTCACCTTACATCGGTCGACCAGGTTTAGACGCCGTATGTTGTGTTTCAGCCGTGGGACTCACAATTGCGGCGTACTGGCAGCCTGGAGCGCGAGCGTGAGTACCAGGAGGGGGCCGAGCGCGCCGAGCGGGCAACCTTTAGGGAGTCCTCTCCGTCGCCACCCGCAGTCACCCGCCCACTGGCGGCGCCGCTGCCCGCCTCCCCGTTTACACCCGTTTCCACTTCGTCGCCGGGCTCCCCGATGAGCGCCCAGGTCCAGGCTATCTTAGCCGAGGATCGGGAGCAGCGGGAGCGAGAGGCGATTGACCGGGAGCTGGAGCGGGAGGGGGAGCGGGAACGGCTAGAGGAGAGGGCCAGAGAGCTGGAGGCGCAGAGGCTGAGGGAGAAGGAACAGGGGAGGGACATTCTCATAGTTTCCCGCGACATTTCGCCGCCGAGCTCGACAGGCTCGGAGGTGGAGGAGGAAGAGGACTTGTCCCCGGAAGTGTCAGACGACGAGAGACTCCTGTCCCCCACGGCCAGCATGCCGGCGAGCTCGGCGGCAACGCCGTCACCTTCTACCGTAGTGTCCTCTTCACAACCGCCCTCCATCCCGGCGCCGGCCCTCCCCGAGTTTTATCAGACAGCCATCGGGCCCATCCCCGAGGAGGACGAGGAGGTCAGCTCACCTACCGCACCGGACGGCGTGTCCAGCCTCCGGCGGCGGCATAAAACGCCCCCAATTTCAGTCTCGGCGTCGTCGACTGCGGCGTCACTTTCCATGACGTCGTCAGCGACGTCAGCCAGCGCCTCGACCTCCGCCACCTTCTCTGTCACCAGCATCTCGCCGGGAGGTACGTCGCTCCGCAGTCGTCACCGCACCGTTAGACGAACAGACCAGCCACCTCAAGGAAGCATTTTGCCAAGATGGCGTGGTGCATTTTGTTCTTTTCTTTGAACGTACAGGATCCAAGTATCTTTTTGATAGCTTTTTATAAGTAGAGTTCCTAGTTATTGGGGCTTGCACATTTGGTTTTCCCTTTCTTTGCCAATGACCAAAACTTGCATAAAGCTTCCAACCGTGGTCGAATACAGTAGATATTTCGTACTGTGGTGTCCGTTAGAATAGACTGTTGTCGCATAATTAATTGCCAGTCTAAATATTTTACTGATTCTTTGGGTTGGCTGGTCTGGCTACATGTAGGTAGAAACGTACATAAAAGGCACTGCCATCAGTTTCGGGCATGCCTTCTTCTATAGCCAGAGTTTTTCCACCTCAGCATGATGTACGCGACGTAAATACGTCAAAATCTGCAAAGTACTTCATACATTTGAACTATTTAACATTCATTACGATTTTAACGAGAAGGCGCGCAGGGCAGCTGGGGACATAGAAGAAGAAGCTTATTCCTTTAATTTGATATTTATAGTCCATGTTGTTTTATGTTTATGTGTTCTAATTGATTTATTTTTCTTCTTTAACTTTCCGGCCTTACCCATTCCGCTATTTCCCACACGTTTTGATTGTATAACCACCACCCCACATTTTGGTCGAAAACTGGAGCTTTTGTGTTTCCTAGATAGACATGACGTTTCTAGTGGCGGCAACATATCGACACAAGAAATAAGTAGAATCCTTGTAATATGATCTCACATTTTAGTCCACAAGCCCGATATATTACTTATACATCACTGCCCGTAACATCCACGCCAAGTCAGTTGTCGATGAGTGAATAATTTAATTTCAAGTGCTCATGGTCAAAATAATCCAACAAAGTATCTAACCGCCAATGTGTCTTTGATTGACTTGTACCCAAGTAGAAACAGAACCTTGCTGCTATTTGACATACCTTTTAAGTAATTCAATGCAGCTTGGTGTGTGACCTTCTTACTGTGTATAAGTTGCCTCAGCGTTATTTGTGAAGCACTGTAATTTTAACTTGTTTATTTCCCGCCTAAAGTGTCGAAGTTAGGTTCACTGTCTTTTAACATTCCTACATCTCTTTTAGTATCGGACTGTAGTACTTTTAAGTTGTACTAGCGATACTGGCGTTGACGCACAGTTCACACGCTTCCATAATCAAATATTTTCATAACACATACTTTTTTCCAGGAGAGCGTCGCGCATTTCCTCCCATGGTGCTTTGTCTCCGATCAGACATATTTTTTGAGAAACGAATAGATATTGATAAAAGCATAATTTTGCGGCTTCAAATTTTATGGTATGATATGGTAACTGTCTCAATGAGCCACGGCCTCTCATTGAATTATCTGTACCATGCAAGGTGGTGCGCGGCATTCGATTTCAACTCAGCTCATGACAATAATTTCATATGCATTGTGCTTGAATGTCAATTATCGACCTCATAGGTGAAATGATCTGTAAGTAAGGGCATAGAAATGAAATCGTAGCAATTGAAATCCACCAATGTGTTCAAAGTACTGCATTTTTGAGGCATAGACAGTTAACGGTTTAAAGTAACACGCACTACTCCTTTCTCCGGACAAAAGTAGCAGGATTCCGTTTGCAAAAAAAAAAATAATTAAAAATCGAGTTGGTGTTGTCAGAATGGCCCTTTGGATGTTGATGATTGTTTAATAAGAGTTTTCAAAATTTTTATTGGTGGATTCCGTTTCTCGTATGAACGCAAGGTTGTATGTGTGTGTGCGTGCGTGTGTTTGATGCTTCAATGCATTACGTTATTTATTTTGTAGAAGGACTTTGGTAGATGCCCTTACCTTCACTACTTTTTTGCTGTGTGCGTGAGCGACATCTCTCTCCTCTCTGCTACATCTTCCTAACTTAGAGTATTTTTGCCCCTTTACCTCTTTGTGTGTGTAGAATTCTCTTCTAGATAAAATGCAGAATCGTACAGTGTTGAAGGTGTGCAAATCATTTCCCCGTAGAGTTCTACGTTTTTCGTTTGTGTACCTACTCTTCATGCAATCCCAGCGCTGCTCCCACTGTTAATAAGAATACTCTTAGGACTGCCAGAAGAACCGTTTCATTATAGGTTTCTTCCGTTGCTTCAGTGCATTTTACATACGTTGGGATAGTCCTCACGTCATGCACCCGCTTTAAAGAAAACCTCCATATTACCTTGGCCTGTCCGTTAACGAGGGCTTACGGCAAAAAGTGTGATATTACAAACCAAGTCGTAGATTTCTCGCACGTTTAGCACGCGTTCATACACTATACGTACCCCGCAATGAACTTTCCACGAGAAGACGGTTCACAAGGGAACCCTGCTGCATCGGCTGTTGCCCTTGCATAACACGTCTCCTCTCGACGAACCTTCCTTGTTGGGCACCTGTAGCTCCACCATGCGCTTTTTGACAGTCGCAATAAGGTGGCTGGCGCGTAATGATCGGTTAATGTGAAACGCAACCAACTGTACTAAGATGAATAGGCATATTTGCCCGGTTAATTACTTATTTTTTACCCCTTGGGCAATAGGTCTCCAGAAAGGTCCAAGTTGGTTGTGTCTTGGCTGTTTCTGTAAAGCTCATGTTTTGCTTCCCACAGCATGCCTTGAGAAGGCAGAACTTTTTCCAGCGATAGTGAAACGTAAGATCGGTGCCTCCGGATGGAGCCCCAGTTTGTCGTTAAGACCTGACTGCGATTATATAAACAACTTCCTTCTGTATTCCTAAGCCTACGTGTGACCGGTTTAACGCTTAGCAAATTTCTTCTCTGACCACGGAGCTACTGTCTGCTTCTGATATGTACATTGTTGGAGTGTTGCATGCAAAGGCACCTTTTCACCTGAACTGCATGCCTGTTGTTCCGTCCCTCTTCCGCACATTTTCCTTTCCTTCCCGCATGCTGCATCCTTTTGACATTACATGGTGGAAAAACTCTGGATTTTTTTCCTTAACAAGAGGCTTATGTCTTGCCCAGTTATAGTAAACTGCTTTTTTGAATGTCGTTTCTAGCATGGTTATTTTTGTGTGCGTGTTTAAGATATGGCGAGTGTTTGACAGATGAGCAAGGATCTCCTTTAATCTTTAAAAACCGGTACCAACAGACTTTTTTATGCATTCATCAATGATTGAACAATTAAAGGTGCAACTGTGGTAAACCAACTACGTTTCAAAAACAGGGTACATTTTAGGGGAAGTAATGCACACTTCTAAAAAGCTTGCCTCTTTTATATATCAAGTGCCACGTGGGAAAGCTGATAATTACAATCTGTGCCTTGTGACTCACGCCCCTTCAGACTTCAAAATCAAACAAGGATCCAACTTACGCCAAGTATCATTTTTAAGCTATTTCATCAAACTCAATCTAAAATTCAATAAATACGCCATATCTTAAAGTAAGCGCGACACAGATCGTGACTAAACGTAGCATATGTGAGTGAAATAACACGATATTTCGTTGCATGTCAGCTTCGAGTCAATCCTCGTAAGGCTTCGATGAGGTAAGGAAACATTTTCTATAGTACTTGTCACTCGTCTCCACGGAAGGAAATGTGATCATCTGCACGTCTCGTGTCTATCTCATACTCTAACGCGCTCTTTGCGAAGCGACGAGACGGAGGTAAGAAGTTATTGGAACCCACAAACACAACATGACACATCCGATGCCATCAATATACCATATTCCAAAGGTCTCTATTATCAAATGGAATTCAGCAGGTGATTTTGGCTGCACAACATTGACTACTAAGCTTCCCCCATCAAATATTTAACATAGTTCGTCAATTCTGATGAAAAGTACTCTGGAAACGTTCACAAATTAACTCATTCAAATGTTCAATGTTTACTGAGAAGACACACTAGCTCCGGATTTTTACCCTCTCTCCTTCCTCTCCACCCTCTCCAGCCGCCACGCCAACCTTCGAACATTTATTGATTTGTTTTCTCAGGCTCACCACTTTCTCTTCTATTTTTTTTTTTATACGCTAGAAATCTGATATCAAGGTGACATAAATAATTTAGTTGATTTCATAGATTAAAGTGTTGTTTTACCACAAACTAACATGGCTGTTAGCATAATTGGGAGGAAAAAGCCTCACCCCTGTTCCAAATGAAAAGGGGGTCTTCAATTTTCCCCTCTGTCTCTGTGCGCTATTACCTAAAAAATTGACAAACAAGAAATATCAGCCTCTGTTGTATCGAACTTTAGCAATCATCAAAAAGTATATTTTGAGAACAAATTTTGAGCTTTCTTTTTACTGCATTTCTCAATGTTTGATGATGCACTTATTTGTCATTTCCCCACGGTCTGAAAAAGAATTTATGCAGTGAGGCCTGTTGCGAAAGTTTAAGTCCGACAGGGGACTCATACAAGTGTAAATTCCCAAATCGATTCAGACTTCGGGGTTTTCATTGTTGACTTTATACTAAACGATTGCCGATACAGGATCATGCCCAATTTGATATATTGGTTGTAGGGGATAAGTCCAATTTCTCAAAAGATGACTAAAAATCAATTTTGGGGGGTGAATCCTAAAATTATTCTCAGTTTGTATCTGGAGATTTCAGTTTGTATTTGCACTGAATACAAAGTACGAATAATTTTAGGATTCACCCCCCCCCCTTTCCCATTTCGTATATTTATATATAATCTAACCTAATATATATAATATTTAGTCGAATTGGACTCATCCCCTACAACCAAAATATCAAATTGGGCACGAACTCCTACCGGCAATCAGTATATAGTCAATAAATGTAAACCCCACAGTTGGACCGATTCGGGAATTTACACTGGTATGAGTCCCCTTAAGAGCCAGAATCCACATCCGATGGCGTGACTTTTTGACTGATTAGAGGCGTAGAAGGGTTAAGCGGGTGGTCCACAACTCGGAAATTTCGTGACCCTTGAATGTATTAAAACTGGATTATTCGTGAATATAGGTATAACTAGATAATCGTGAATCCAAATTCAAACTTGGATTGAATACTTGCAAATATCTAAAAAAATGAATTGAATACTAATTTTGGTAGACCCGCGGATATCCGAAGTTGTGAGGCAGTAGCTGCCTGTTTTTTTGAGCCTCTACTTAAAAGTTGCCTAGTCAGGCTGGCGTGCTTGACTCGGAAAAAAATAGATATTATAAATATCTGTTATGATTTCGGCTATTTGTTATTTTACATGATGCGCTGTTCAGAGTGCCGAACTTTTTACTGGTTATAATGGACTGTGTGCAGGCGAGCCGGTGGGCTTGTCAACCGTCGCTTTCAAAAAGTGTCCTTACACTCAGCGCCCAAGGAGGAATTTGAGCGCTGACTGTCATGCATGACGTCAAAATGGTCCCCCTTTTTGACGTCTTTCTGCACTCATCCTGATGTCATTCTGACCAATATTTGACATATAGACGTCATAATGAGTCACAATGACGTCAGGATGAGTGCAGAAAGATGTCAGAATGAGGGACCATTTTGACGTCACACTGACAGTCAGGGCTCAAATTTCTCCTTGGGCGCATTCAGTCAGTGTCCGTGGACGTCCGTTTCCTGTTTTTGTAACTGATGTTTTGGCAAGAAACCCTATTTAAATGTGCGACCGTATATTTTGGACACACTTTTCGTTTAGTGATGAAATCCTATATCTAAAAAGGGTTAAACGTCAGTGTGGATACAGCGGACGCGCTGTGTGTGAGGGTCTATTGGTCTCGTGCGACTGCGCAACTGCACGCCTGCATCCGGTACAGTATAACTAGACAGAAGGTATCATCTGCTAAAAAGGACCCTACCCTATATATTCTATAACAGACGTGTTCTAAAAGAAATTTCTGTCATAAATATCGATTACTGTAAATGGGTTGGTGTCTTATGACGCCAAAATATTGGCGCCCTCTGAAGAACGCCAAATTTTGACGTCATAAGACGCCAATTCTTGGCGTCCAGTAAAAGAACGCCAAAATTTGGCGTCTTGTAGGACTTGGCGTCATAGGACGCAAAAATTTGGCGTCATAAGACGCCAACGCATTTACAGTGTTAAATTCTTTTCTGGAACTATCGTTAAGTTATGTTTTTGTAATATTAATGCGTAATATTGTGTGTTATGACTTTCGATAAACTAGTGTCCAACATCTAGCACAATCAGGCGCGGTTTTAAGTCCGTCTGACGGAGGGGGCGATTTGCTGTGGGTTGCCTACTTTCAGGGGTTTTGTAAGATAAACTGCCTACCTACCCCAGGGGGCGATTTGGCCAGACGGGGGGATGGGGAGGGCGATCGCCCCCCCCCCCCATAAAACCGCGCCTGAGCATAATAGCAGCGCTTGCAAATGATACTAATCTTTTAATTTTCTTTTATAGGTGGAGTTTACAATTCAACAATGGACGACGGGCGTAGTCATATAGGGGCGAGTGGTATTCCCCTTTCAGGAACGCAATCGCTACCACAGTCACCTAGAGCACAACTCAGATCTCAGCGATCCCTAGATGGCGCCCTTGGTGGTTCTCTTGGTGGCCTAACTAATGCAGGAAGAGGTAGGCGTCTTATGTTAAGATATTGCGTGAAAGGCGTGTAAAATGCGTTGAGCTCTCATTAATTTATATATTATGTTATCAGGGACTGACCTAGGCCGAGGAAGAGGAGTGTTAGGAAGACCAGGATCTAGGGAGAGCATGTTCGACTCACAAAGGTACATCACATCACCCTCCTACAATTTGAAAGGCTATTTGAGTCCAAGCTAATGGTACTTTGTTCTACAGCAGGGATCTTGTTAACAGTGACTTTGCACCTCGGAATGGCATAACCGCAGGCATGGATATAGATAGAGCACACGGACAAGTACGTATGGTTGGATTTACGGTCGGTTTTCGTAAATTTATGAAAAGTAAATATTTATGGTGTACCAGTTTCTAATTAACTTTGCATTTTTCCACTAACAGTATGGGGAAATGTCGGAGTTCGGTTATTTGACAAAACAGCAACAGATCCAACAACAACAACAACATCAACAACAACAGCAGCAACAACAACAAAATCTGTCTCTGCAAAACCAGCAATCTCAAGCTCAAAGCTTACAAACTCAACAAAATCAAATGCATAACCAACAACAGCAGCAGCAGCTCCAACAACAGCAGCAGCAACTTCAGCAACAACAACAGCGCCAACAAGAGGTGCATCAACAGCAGCAAATGCAGCAGCAACAGCAACACATGCAGCAACAGCAACAGCTTCAACAACAACAACAAATCCAAAATACCCCTCCAACTCAACAAATGCAGCAGCAACAAGCGCTACAACAACAGCAAGTGCTGCAGTCACAACATCTTCAGCAGCAGCAACAAGAACAACTAAACAAATTTCAACAGCAAATGCTGCAGCTTCAGCAGCAACAGCAGGAAGTGAAACTCCAAGCTCAAGCTTTGCAACAACAACAACAACAACAACAACAAAACATGAATAAAACCGGGAGAATCATGGATTTGCAGGTATTTTATTTGTTCATTTTTATATTTTAAACGTAGCTATTCTATTTGCCATGTACATAAGCCGCGATACTCCATAGATGTGTATTGTCTAGAAACCCTCAACGTGCACTGATGTGCTCAGCATTTTTCCAAACTAGGTATTTAGTCCAGGTCAAAAATAAGAACCTTTTACGTAGTGCGATGTGAACTTTGTTTATAAACAATAAAGTTTGTTCTACTCTTCGGAAGGGTTGCAGGATCAAACGAAGGAAATGAATATTCAAAATTCTTTAAATGGAAACAATCGGCGAACCATAAATGATGTGGGGTTCTGTCTGTGTTCACAACGAGTTTGCTATAATAACCTGGGCTAAATTATACCTTTCGGATTCCTTAGTGCCAAACTCAACTATTTAACACACTGTGCAATTTCTGGTTTTGTTAGAATAGTGATGGTAGATGCGAATTAGATGCCGTCCTTTTAAAACTAACTCAACTTTTTTCAGTCCGGATTATTTTTCTAAATGGATACTTGAAGTAAAATTCTGTTCATTTTGCCGTGTACTAGAATAGATTAAAATGCTTGTTTTTATCGTTGTTCATTTTGTTTACGTTTTCGTGTGAAGTAGCTGTAGCTTGTCCCTCCCTCGCCCTGCAGAGTGCGGGCACGGTTCTGACCGTGGCTCCCCAGAGTTGTCCTCCCCTTAAGAGGCCCCAGCCACGGCCATCCCGTCGGCCTAGCAGGTCACCCATGCTATCACCTATCCTCGACGTGTCCCCGTCGATGGAGACGGCTGACCAGCTGGAACTCGGCCAGGTAAAACGCCAGATATACCACAGTGGTCTGGGGCCATTGTAATTGCCGGTAGGAGTACTCCCCCTAGCGATAGCAGGCGTTTATAGCGGACCGTTAATGTATGTTTCTAAATAACTTGAGTTCCGAACAATCTTTTGATCGGTGTTCACATTTTTGCCACCAATTTAGTCTTACACTTGAAGTTTCTCAGACCACTGTGGGGCTGCTATTCGCACTTTTACTAGCGCAATCATCCTGAAAGGCTACTGCACGCTGCTCTGCAACGTCATTTTAGCTCAGACGTGCGAATAATTCAGCAAAAAGGGACACCCCGGGATCGAATCTCCCGGACCCCCTTACAGACCTTTCCCTTCGACTGGTAAACACTCTTAGTTTCAAAAACTCAAATTGCATGTAAAAATATGCATTGAGATGCGCTGTTTTAAAGTAAGTAGAACGGATGGCGGCGAGTATTTGAAATACCTTGGGGTGTACGAGAACTCGCTTGTCAGACGTGTTGTCGAAGCTTTTGCGCTTCTATTTGACGGTGTACATGCTTGCCTCGTCTACGTCTAACTTAGTTGTGAAGCTTTTGCATGTGTTTGTGAAATGACAAAGTCCATTATTATCCACGCTGTGGATACATATGACCAATCGGCAGCTACCGCTAAGTGTTGAATAAGATCCACAGAGCCCTCCTTATGTGACCTGTTATTTGCTTTCAGGGAGGGACTGGCATGGAGCAGGGGATGTACGGCGCGCAGACTAGTGGCCCTCTCGGAGCGCTGGGGCACGGGGTATCGTCCATGACACCCGGGATGTCGTCAATGTCGGGCATGACGGGGCTCAACAACATGATTGGCAACTCGGGTGTCGGTGGCATCCAGGGCGTTTCGTCCTCCGGCATGTCCGGCCTTCAGGGTATGGGATCGTACGGGGCTGGACTCGGCACCCTTCCGAAGACGTCCACGGCGGTGTCCACGGCCACGACGTCTGGGACTAGCATAAGCGGCATGCTGGCGGACTTCAGCAGAGCGTTGGGTACGCAATGTGACGCGTCGCGAATCAAATAACACGATGTGTATAACAGTAATGATATTCTGACTCTGCTCTGTCCAGGTCTAGGAAACACTTCACCGCGGCCGTCGCCTTCGGAGGAGCGGCCACCGCTGGACCCACACGACCCTCTGGCGGCGCTTCACCCGCCACCACTCTACGGCAGCGCCGGCAGCACCAACACCTCCACGACCTCCAGCATGGGCGGCGCGATGCACGGTGTGCAGCACGGTGCGCAGCATGGTGTGCAGCACGGTGTGCACGGCCTTGGCTCCACTGCCGGGCTCACCTCCGCGTCTGGCATGGTGTCCAGCCAGGGCGTCGCCCAGTCGGCGATGGGGATGCAGTCCAACGCGCTCACCCAGCAGACGGCAGCGCAGCAGCAACACCTTCAGCAGCAGGTCCAACAGCTAGCGAAGCAGAACGCGCTACAGCAGCAACAACAACAACACCTGCAACAGCAATTGCAACAGCAGCTTCAGATGCAACAGGAGGAGCAGATGCAGCAACAATACCTTTTGCAGGAACAGGCGCACCAAACACAGGTAAGTAGTGCGGGGCCTAAAAGACAGCCTCTACCAAGTGGATGACTCGCGCCGCGATCTTTCGTAGTCATACTGTACCGCATGCACGCGTGTGGGCGGGTTGTCTAGTCGCAGGGGGCCACAAGGAGCCGTGGGCAGCGAGGATGGCCAAACCCACCTGCGTGCCCCGTACAAAAATTTCTATCTCCCAGAAGACTCAGACCGATCTTTTCTCGAGACACCGCTGAGCCAGTCTATAGTCAGTTTGGAACATCGATGGAGATAAGTTTTAGTCATCGTTGAGTTACATCTCAGAGTGCGATGGATCAAGTGTCTCAGAGATGTCTCCAGCGAGTCTGCGCAGCGTCGCCATGTGCGGGACCGGTGCATTCGGTGACACACGTCTGCACACGTCCCTCTGTCTTTCCGCTCTGGCCCAGCGGTCAGCGAGACAGAACCGTCGGGTCGGAGGTTCGCCTCTCTCTCACCAGCGTCCATGTGGGCACTCAGCTGTTATCAACATTCAATGAAAGAGTGTCTCAATGACGGCTCCAGTCTGACTCAACCATTCGAGCCACAGTTCCCCGTGTGGTCTCCACGATGGCTTTAGCATGCGGCTCAGGAAAGGCTACTTTGCGAGACAAAGTAGACATCTTGGCACCTCTGCGGGTCCACGTGGAGCCATACACGGTAAAAAGAATGTCTTGAAATCCGAGTCGATTTCTTGGATGTCAAGGTCGGGTGGATAATTTCAAGATTGGCCCTTGAAATCCTCAGACTCTGTACGATCTGAATGCTTCAAGGAAAACCCTTTGAATACCAGATGACAATTTCAAGGCTTTCCTTTGGAAGCTGCGGGTTTCAAGACGGAGTCTGGGATTTCAAGGGCCAATCTTGAAATTATCCACCCGACCTTGAAATCCAAGAAATCGCCTCGGATTTCAAGACATACTTTTTACAGTGTACGAAAGCAGCTCAGGGAGGGCTCGGCTATGGATCAGATGTAAATCAACGATGACTAAAACTTATCTCCATCGATGTTCCAAACTGACTATAGGCTGGCTCAGCGGTGTCTCGAGAATGTATGAGTAAGATCCAGCTATGAGTCAAATCGTCTGGTACGGGGCATATTTGTGCATGCGGTATGCGGTACAGTATAAACTAGGGAAGTGAGACAGCCGCACGCTCATGGTATCACCTCGCCACGCTAAAGCCCGCGTTGAAACACGCCACATCTAATGGCCCTCTTCTCCGCCAGATGCTGCACCAGCAGCTGCATCAGCAGGCTGTCCAGGCGGCGCAACAGCAGCACGTGGTGCAGCAGGTGGCACAGACGGCGGTGCAGCTGCAACAGCAAGCAGTGCACCAGGCAGCCGCGGTGCAGCAGCAGTTGGACGGTGCGCCCATACTGTATCCGCAGCACATGACCCCGGCCCAGCAGCAGATGTACCAGCAGCAGATGCAGCAGCAGCACCAAGCCCAGCATCTCAAAAAGAACCGGCGGTCGCTGCCGCAACAGGGCATGCAGCCGGACATGCGCCAGCACCAGATGGGCCGGACGACGCACACTCACCTCAGCACCTCGCAGCCGGTAACGAGTGGGCTGGGGGGCACTCCCATGAGCACGCCGCAGGGCACGCCCGTGGGCACGCCCCGCGGCCCCCGCGACCAGGGCGGCGACTCTTCCGACACCATGTCCGAGACGGACTCGCAGAAGAGCCTGCGCAATCGGCGGAAGCTGCCGCCAATCCCGGCGGACCAGGAGGCGGCGCCGCTGCCCTGCAGCAAGAAGCGCGAGCGGAAGAGCCACTCGGCCGACAGGTTCAGGTGAGAGCCCCTGCGAAGCAGCGCGTAGGCAGTCCCGCATGGCACGCGTGTCGTGCGGGCCGGCCCGCCGCCAGGCGCCCCGACTCACACTGGCGGCTGTTTGCAGGTCCTTCTCGCCGCTGCGCCAGGCGTCGTTGGACGGCTCGTCGGCGAGGTCCTCGTCGCTCATGCTGACGCGGCCTTCGGCGTCCGAGACCAACCTGCGCAAGATCACGCACGGCATTGAGCAGGCGCCGCGGCCGGGCTCGGCGCTCGGGCTGCTGCAGGGTTCCAGCGTCGTCAGCTCCACGGGGCTGCCCGTGTCCACCTCCTCGCTCTACGCCAGCAGTCAGATGAGTGACCTCGCCTCTGTGCTGCCACCCGACCTGCGGCACCTCCTCGGGCCGGGTGCGGGCGGCGCGCACTCTCTGCATGGTGACTCCTACAGCAAGACGGTGCGTGTTAGTTGTAGCGCTGGCCGGCGCTGGCCGGCGCTGGCCCTCCATCGACATTCGCTGACTGGAATTGTATTGGCAGGTGCCGAGCTACATGCAGTCGCTGAAGGACCAGCTCAAGGAGGAGATGCGTGCAGACCGAAGGCGGCTGCTGTCGCTTGATAAGGAGAGGGAGCTGCGCTTCCGACGCGAGCGGGAGAAGTTCGAAGCCCTCCGAGATCCACTTAAAAGGTGAGTAGTTGGGGTCCCTGTTGAGTTGACCTAGAGCACAAGCGCTGCAATAGAAATTTAAATTTGTTTCTTTCTACCCACTTTATAGACTTGAAATGCAGAGGAAAATGGCTTCGCCAGTATTGTCTCGATCGAGAAAGCTGCGCGCCCACCGGAGGCAGTTGTCGGATCCGAAGATTCACCCTCCCTTTTCACCTATTACTGAGGATAGAGACTTGGAGAACGAGTACGATCGGGTAGGTGGATTCGGCGCACGTATCTTATCCCATGTGCTTTGCACCTCGAGGAGCTTAATAGAAACGATTGTTATGCGCAGGGTTACCTGGGCTTCCTGCACAAGCCGCCGTACAAGAGCTACGAGTACGAGTCAATAGACGATGGCCACCGTTCTGAGTGGGATCCCAGCCACTCGTACCTCAGCACCTCGTATGCCGCGGCTGGTGGTGCGCTCCGGGAGACGGCTATCAACTCCGTCCTTGACGATGACCGTTATTTTTCATCGTCAAGGTTAGTTTCCTCTCAAAGCCTTCTTCATCTCTTTTTTCAGATTTGATAAAGGCAGTAACTTTAACCTACACAGGTGTGCTGAAGATGTGAATGTAAAACACTTTATGGTATTTATAGCGGCATTTCTCCAATAGTTCTTTGTTTTACCTTTCTAATGATGTATTTACGCCTGCGTTGTTTCGGCACTTCGCGAACACGTGGGCCTCGTTTATATGGGTGGGGGTGAAATTGACAGTATGAGCATAAGAGGGGGATGTAAATTAAGCCACGACAATATCAGTAAAGTGAGGATTGGTTTCAATCTTACAAGCTCTTTAGGTCAACTGCAGATGCGAATTACAGACCATCTCATCTTATACTGAAAAATCCTCTGTCTTTTCTCTTTTTCATTTTCTTTCTGTCTTCTCTTTCTATCTGTCTACCTTTTTCTGTCTCTGCCTCTTTCCACACGATACTTAGTGGGACAAGTCGATAAAATAAAATATATGAGACACTTCACAGTTAAGAACATCTTTACATTATCAATCGAGTCGTTTGAGTTGCTAACGTTTGTGTTTTTCTCAATTTTCTTTTAATTTTTTTTGGTTCTTTTTGTTTTGACACTGCGTTGCTTCATGTCCGCGCAGTATTTGGTGAGAGGCGTGGTGCCGGTCGTCCTCCTCTACCCCTTCTTCTCTCTCTCCTATGGCCGGTATGTTGAGACCGCACTCTGTCTCTTTCTATCTTTCTTCTTTTGTTTTCTTCCTGACGCGCCGTTTGTATGCATCCTCCTATCTATGCCTTCTGCTAAACTTATAAATATTTGTAATATGATTTCGTTCGTAAATTGTGATGACTGTTATGTTATGATCATGATTATTTTCAACGATACCGAGGCAATCGCTATAGGATGAGTACAGTCGACGCTAAGAACTCACTGAGTCACCCAGAGCGTCTTTGACAGCCTTGCAAACCCTTGACATGCGTCTGGTCGGAGAAAAGCAAAGAGGGATGGGGATGCCAAATTGAGAAGAGAGTGCGGAGATGGTCGTAAAATCTGGATTACTTGAGACCATCATCAGATTCCATGATATCATTATTTTCATTTTGCTGCTTTAAAGTCCTAAGCATCCTTTCAACCCTGCCCTTTTATCTTCCCCTTATTTTTATTTTTTTTAATTTTTTTTTTTATTTCAGTCAGTGCTGTCCAACGTACCCGGTATCAGTAATAATAATCTACTAAAATCTGTCTCTACCAATGAAACATCAAAAAGACAATCATTATCATACACTGAACCCTGAACCTCATCTTATTAATTCTGGGATATCATTTTTTGTAAAATACAAAAATTCATAAACTACGTTTATGATTGGAACTCTTACAAGTAGATAGAGCAGTATCTAGTAATTGAACAGAAACTCTTCCAAAGCATCACGCATTTTAGGTTTAAGGAGAGAAGGGGCAGCCCTCTTATGTATATGCATGTAAACATGGCAAATTTAAAGTTAAATTCAACAACGGATTTAACAACGTGAATATTGGATTGCATGGGGTGCATGATACGCCCGCAGCATGCGGAGCACCGGTAGCGCAAGGCTTATAGTTCGGCTTTTAATAGTTTTGCGTCAGGATGGACGGCTGAGGTTTTTTCACAGTGAGCAGTTCCCAGTGAGAAATGATTGGACATAAAACTCGATTCCACGTCGTCACTACCTGACATTGTCCACAATATAGATGCAACTTGAATAATGGACGTCCAGTCAATGTAAATTTATTTTTGATTTCTCACTAGAGTTATCGATTTGAGAAAGCTTAACGTTGGAGTACACTGGAAACGCAACTGTGTAAATGTAATCCCCCCCCCCTCTAAGCACTGTCAGAAAAAATCACAGCAGGCACTGGTCAAGTCCTTGCCTGGTCGCATTGTACTGAGTGAGGATCAACATTTTGAGGTACAAAGTACAATATACTTTAACATGGAGTCGCTTATGGGCACTACAATAAAAAAGGACAAATATCGTGTACCTCACCTCCACAAACCTACCATCCATTTATTGTACTTAGGTACAATATTTTTGATAGTTAGTGTACGAATGGATATTCCCAAACCTACAAGTGTGCGACATTCGCACACATGCGTTTCCAGTGTATGTCCTATTACGAAAACTCTGTTAAATCTTAAACTTTTACCGGTGGCACACCTGATTTATCTGTGTACTAAGAACATACTTGTAGTATATGTTCAACCCTCAGTGGCTACCTTTTCATGTTGACGCTTGTAAATTAAATTGCAACAGGATAAAATGAGATTAGAAGTACCGCGTGTTAGAGCTACAACACAGCAGTTTGCGGGTTTGCCTACTCGCTTCACCCGCTAGGCGCCATGGCCCCTAGGGTAGGCACACACGCAACACTGCTGTGTCGTAGCCCTGGCACGCCGCATACTTTGTGAAACATGTGCCTTCCATTTTTCAGAAGAAATTGTATTAATGAAATTACCAGAAAGCTACTTCACTCGTTTCTTGAACATTTGTTTTGCAAAGCGTTTCAAGGGTGACTCCATGCAAAATTGCGAATTTGTGGGGGTTGAAGTCTAGTCCCTGGCGCGGCATTTGAAATGCATGCTAAGGATGAGGTCCGACCGTCCCGTGGGTTGTGCTTCCACCGCCCTGGTCTGGTCACGTTCTGCCCCTGAACGCTGTCGTTTCCTCTGCCTGCCGCAGGTCGGGGATGCGCCGGTCATCGGAAGTGCTGGCGGGCCGTGGCTCCTTGGGCCGCAAACCGCACCGCAAGCCGCGCTCGTGGCACCCGTCGCCGTACGGTAGCGATGAGGACGACGACGCAGTGTTCCGCGAGGAGAAGAAGGCGAAGATCAAGGCGGAGATAGCGCGCCGGCGCCGGGAGATAGAGGTGAACGACAGGCTGCACGAGGAGCTTGTGCGCCTCGCCAAGATCCGAGAGAGCGCCGAGCTGGGCTACGACGCGGCCCCGGGTGCGTCCACGGCTGTGTACGCCTCCAACGAGCTCGCGCTCAGCCGTCACGCTGCCCAGGTCGCCGCCGGGGTGCGACACCCCTCGGGCGGTGGCGTCGGGCCGTCCGACTACACGAGCTCGAGTGTGCTCAAGTCCATTGACGAGCTACTGCTCACGGACCCCATGGACTACAGCCACCACCGGTCGCGCTCGCCGCGCCGCCACGTGCACGTCCCCGGCGCCCACCAGGGCGGCCACGGCGTGACCGAGGAAGACCGCTCTATTGAGAGGATCGCCTCGACGTTTCGGACCGAGGATTACACGGCCGGTCTCTACGAGCGGCTGTCGGACTTCTCGCCGCTGACCGACTTCACCCCCCACGCTATGCCCCTCCTCCCGGATATGCCCACCCGATCCAGAAAGCTGCTCGAGGACCTGGGCAGCTCACCTATAACCGAGTCGGTCTTGGCCCTGCCGCAAAAAGGCAAGTACGGTTCCAGACTGTACGCCAAGTAAAAGTTTCTTTTATTTCGTTTCGTTTTGGTTACGGCAAGTGGCGCGGAACGATATTTATCGTTTGTATTGTGACGAGAGGAAATTGTTAAGTTTTACCTGTTGAAACAGAATTGTTATACCTCACCAATGAAATCATTGAATTGTTGTTATTCACTAAGACGCGCGTGATGCTTCATCCGCAAAAGAAAACTTTCTATGAGTCTATCACTTAAAAGAATCCTTCTCTTTATCTCTATTTTTTATTTTTTCTCTATCTCAAATCTCCACATATAAGAAAAAGCTTCCTTTTTCATTCTCACTAATTTTTCTATCTCGATCTGAGTGATTCGGCAGGAGTCATCTGTGACCGTCGTCCCATTTCTGCATGCGCCATTCGCAGTGTTCTGCTTTTGTCCTGCATCACCACCTGTTCTAGCACTTCTGGCTTGACAGGGCTGTTAAGTGTCAATACCCCACAAGCCAGCAGTGCTACTTGTCCTAAACCCAATCCTAATCAGAGACGATGGCCATCACAGAGTACGGCTGGCATTTTCCGGTTACGTTTTCGCACTTCAAGAGTACCACTTATTTACGTCGCAACTCTTTTAATATGTAGATAGACACTCAAAACTAAAATATATGTTTTCTGAATCAAAATGAAAACGGTAGTAGAAAGTTGTCGAAAAAGCACAATTTCGGGAGAATGGCGAGAATGGCCTGACGTCTGTGATAGCGACCCTCTCTGCACTATAAGCCACCATATCCTTCTTTCTCAGTGTTGTACATTTACTATCGCTTTCTGAATACTGTCACATTATTGGCTGCTGTGTGTTTAAATGTGTGTTTTGTACGTGGGACTCAGCTGATATTCAAGGAATTAGATACATAAAATAGTTAAGATTGCTGTGATTAACGAAATGCCTAGCGTTTTTGTTTATTAGATTGTTATTTTTTCTTTTCGATTAAGTTGGGAGGGGGTTGGGGGGGAGGGCAATTCATGTTGGTACCTTGTTTATTTTCTAACTCGAAGCCATGGGGAAAATAATGACTGTAAGAGTGTGAAAATAATATTTCAAGGTTGCAATAAGGGACAGCTTCTATTTAGGTCATGTAAAGTGTAACCGCCACTAACTACAGTTCCATCTTGCCATCGGTATAACGTCATCATCACAGCTGTCTCTACTCCCCATCAGGTCGGTTTAAGATCACGTGATTGTCAAGTTTTCAATCTCATGGCTAGAGGCAGAGGCACAATATATCGTGGAGAGGAAAAAAGAGGAAATGCACTACTTGATTCATATCAGCTTAACTGCAACCTATGAGACAAATAAAAGCTTAGCGCTGGCCTAGGCGCGGCATCATATCCGGGCCAGGCTTTGTACATTGCCTTAAGTCTTATCATTCGGTATTTAAAGTAAACGCTATGGTACTTCATAACCTTATCAATACTGAAAACAGTCGTAGATCTGGAAGGGACTACGCCCTTCCGCTATTGAGCCTGTTGAGGCTGTTGTGATAGCATCACTCTGATGTTTTTGCCTCGAAAATCAGTGTTTGACCACTCATGTAGCAAAGTCAACTGTGTATCGGAGAGTGCTCCCCGATCATTGTTAACTCCTGTTAATTTGCCCATGTAGCCCACTAAATGAAGGTTCTCCGACTAAGGTGTTTTACTTTTTGTGTGTTTTGTCTGTCAGATGACAATGTGCAGGGCTACTCTACAGGCCATTGCTTTTTCATGTTTTCTATTTATCGCGGCCTCCATTTATGGTGTTCCAATGTGGTAAACGGCATACATATTTAAACGCCGATACGTTACCTGACTGTTATGGCTTCCGTTGAAATGCCACGGACCTTGGCTTTAATGTATTATGTACAAATGCAAATACAATACACGTTTTGTAATTAAAAATTTTTAATGAAAGCGAAAGATTTTTAAAGAGGAAATATCAAATTCGTGAATAATAAGCTGGCAAAGCTCTTCGCCTGATAGGCAGTGAATTTCCGCTGTTGTCTTATATTGGACCACACTCTATTGTAACTGTTACGAAACTTTGTCACAATAAAAGGGTTTATTGTAGAACAAGGTTATACTCTTTCAAGGGCCAGCATTGAACAGATCCATTTCCACAGCTCTTTAGCTTAACAAACAGAAGCACCAAAATTCGAGTTGCATTTGAATGTAAGGTACTTGCTTACCCTGGCGGCCAAATAATGTCGATTAGCCTATGCTCAAAACAGTTCAGCGGAATTAGTATTCGTAAATACTGCCATAATTGACATTACACATGACACTTTTGATTCGGTATGACTGAGTATGCCCATTGTTCTTGTTCCATCGAATGCATGTTTCTTATTTATTGTTCTTAAAAAATTGATGAATTATTTAAAAGTATTAAATTCACTATCCTGTTTGATATTGCCGGGTCATTCCTGAAAACCACAAGGCACCTGGGTACAAGAAGAGGCTGACGCTGTATTAACTAACTCCAATATTTATACCCACCAATTCAATGTAAAATGCCCCTTTTCTTTGTGAATCAGACCTGTCTCTTGTTTTGTAAATGTATTTCTGTCGTGCTTTACTTAAATTTTTGCGATGGATGTTTTTTGTGCAATGTGCATATGTGTAAAGATGTATGGATAACGCACACGACATGTTTCAAAACAGTTAAATTCCTTCCAAGAGCGGTCGATTCAGATGGCATAAAACACTGCACAGACACGTAGGAAACGTTTAAATCTTCTCCCACATAGACTTTCATGTATCTGAAATTCAGGCTGCATTAATGGAAGAAACTTCCTGCAGGTATGTTTCCGTAACAATTTAGTCTTCCAACTTCTTTCCGTGCCCAAAGTATTAAAAAGTCGCTAGAACAGCATCACACAGGCTTCTTCGGTAAATAATAGCTTAGTCAATATTACAGTTTTGACTTAAATATTCCAAACAACTAACTGCCACTATTCTGTACAGTGACAACACTAATGAGCACTCTATCCCTGTTCCTGACGGGAAACAGATCATGACTCCCTAATTTTACGTAGCCGTGGACAAGTAATTTTCAATGCTTTAATAAAAGATTGCCAATAAACACTCCACTAAGTCGAGTTAGCTCGGCAAAAACTAATTATCACGCCGGGAATCATCGGTGGACGACGACCGATCTAGATTTCTTTGACGAAGGCTGCTTCAACTTCAAAAAAAAGATGGGCATATCGTAAATACTAACAGATCGAGTAAGTACAATTTTAACGAAGTAGCCCAAGTAACCACTGATTGCATGTTGCATTCACTCTTTGCTCTTGCGCAGACAAGCTCACGATTGCTTTCAATAATGAGGACGTCGAGCACGGAACTCACGTAGCCTACGGAACTGAGCTGCATGACGTAGAAATGTGTCCAGAAGCACAGTGACAGGCGTTGGATGAATGCAGCTCCTATTTAAAGTAAATATGTCATGCTTTGGGGGTTCTGCAGCTTATTTCTCGATTTTCACTTTCACATCAGCGCATAACCCCTAGCTTTTTAACACCAATAGTTAACGTTGTTCATTGTCCGTTTTTTGTTTTGTATGAAGGACTGAACATGCCATGTTACAGTCCAATGTTACTTGTAATTATAAAGTGGGAGATGAGTGGTAAATTCGTTTCATCTATCTCGCATATCTGGAGGATTACATGCCTCCGTGATTGTATCATAATTTCAATGTTTTGACTAATGTAGTGCGAAATCAGAAATGAGCGACTCTAGATCAGTCCACTGATAAATCACTTGTTCAACAGGTAAACTCTTAAAAGTATGCAACTGCAAGTTAAATGGTTACAAGCGTTTAACTCGGCTGTTGTCCACCTGCAAGTGTTCAACTCAGCTGTTGCCCTCTTGCAAGTGTTCATTTCCTTTGATGTGCACTTTTAAGTATACAACTATTATTCATTTTGCAATTGGACACTTCAAATTGTTCACCAGGTGAGCAATTGATTGATCAGTGTAGAACTTCCGTTGGTTCCCGGCATGATAGGACATCTAAATTAGACTTAGGCTGGTGTAAGATATATTTATTCGGGGGGAAAGCAATTTGAGCGGCACAGGGTCTCCTGGACTTAGACCGGTATCCGATTACATCGATTGTATTCGCAACTCAGGAATCATTCTTAAAAATAGACCCTACCATCTTTAAACGTGGAGTTCCTACTTCTCTGTGTTACTAAAACTCTAAACGCCATCTGTGTTTGTAAATGCTTACTCGAATGGAAGGAGACTATTTTTTGTTTACGTGGGACATATCTTACACTTTGCCAAAAGAGTATTTAAAACTGTTAAAATGTTGATGCACGTAATAGCAAAGTAGGTGATAGTGTTTCAGTATCATCTAGAAAATTTTAACATTGTCCCTAACGGCTCGGTGCGAAATGATTCTTCTAGCAGTATGGTTACATAATTTAAACTAAAGCATTTTTTTGCATATATTTTTTTACAGTTACGCTGTATTCTGGGATCATTTCGAATCAGTTCGTTGGGGATAATGCCTACTACAGCGAATAGAATTGTGCACTTGTAATAACCACCTCTGTATGTTAATAATTAGCACGGTTACGTTTGTAATAGTTAACAGTGCTTTGCTTGTATACTGTTAGTACCTATAAATAACTATGTACCAAGCCTTGGTACGTGCTTTTCGGAAAGAAAAATAGCACTGTCGCTCAGTTGAATATAGAACAATGGAAATGTAGACCAAAGAGCCATGGATTAATGCTTTATGTTGCTGGTTACAATCCTTGGGCTTTATGGGCTTGAGGATCTTAACATATTAACACATACATTTTGTATTATTTTTGGGACTATGGCCATGGCGATGATTTTCAGTTTAGAATGACTTTCAGAATACTTGTAGAGGGGTTTCATCCGAAACATTCGGCGGCAATGTTCATCGTCGCTTTGGTCCGATAGAAAGCAGATATCATGATTTCGAGGGATCCAACTTTCAATGGCTATCAAGAACCACGATTCTGTCAAACGATTAGCGATACCAAATCTCTCGAGGTTGTTTTTGTTGTTTCCTTACATAAAATCATTAAAACGTACAAGCCATGGCAATCCTACCAATTAAAGTGGAAGGTGCACTAGTTAATACGTTAAGATCCTTAAACTGATAAGGCCTGAATGAGCTTTCAACATTTCACTTCTAAACGAGCTTAGTGATTTGTAACTACTCCACAACTAAAAGTTTGCTACATTTCAATACTCACGACCAATACAAAAAAATTACATTCTGGAGGGAATGTAGGATCCGCTTCACACTCAGAAAATTACTTGACACTCTAAAAGCGTGTGCGGACGCGGTGGTCGCATTCCTTATCAGTCTGCAATTTGTCAGACATGTTATCTATGTATTGGAATGGCGTGAACTTTGAATTGTAGATTACGTGTACTAATTGATAGCAATTTTTTTTTTTTTTTCAAATGAAAACTTTACATCCCGTTTTTGTGTTGTTTCGCACTCTGAAAACTCAAGATTCCAACAGTTATAAGTGCAATTCCATGATTGTCACAGTTAAAACTGTAGTACCATACATTCATCACTCAGGCGTGGTTCTGTTCCCCCACACTGAACGCATTCAGTATGTCCGCGTCCGCTGTGTCCGCCTCTGTCCGCCCGGACAGATGTCCGCCACACCGGACTTTTAGTTGTCGACAAGTTGACGATGTGTGACTAGACATAGGCGGACAGTGCGGACGCGGACACACCTAAAGCGTTAGTGTGGAGGCACCTTTAAGGTCCGTCTGATGGAGGGGGCGATCTCCCTGCTAATCCAACTGTTCGATAGTTGCAGTTCCAGTTGCGATTTTCTGACCAGGACTAAATACATTTTTAATGATGAGACCATCGTCATTGTCGTAAAATTCTCTTTCAAACGAGCATATATAGGATAGGGTTGATGTAAGACACGTACGCGGAAGAATACGAATTTCTAGAACTTCACTTTTGAGGACGTATCCGTTTCAATTTACGTCGCAATTCTTTCAATGTACTCGTTTGAAACATAAATTGAAGACGAAAGCGATGGCGTCCTCAGATAAAATATTCTTAATCCTGGTCATAAAAATCGCACTTGGAACTTCAGAACCCTTTAGTTCTACACTTATAACTGTAGAACAGTTCGGCACTTGGACTAGCAGAGATTGCTCTGTGGTGCCTACTTTCAGGGTTTTTGTACCTACCCTAAGGGTCGATTTGGGTCAACCGGGGGGGAGGGCGAACGCCCCCCCCCCCCCCTCCACGGTCAAACTGCGCTTGGTATCACACAGTACCCCAGACGCATCCCCCGTAAAGTGAAGTGTGGTACTATACTTTTCAGTGTGATGCATGTGTATTACTACACCTTTCAGTGTGGTACTACAATTTTAATTGTGATACAGGTGTGATTCTACACTTTGAAGTGTGATACACACGGTATTGCACTTATTAAATTATAAGACTGTATCACACTTGTGTTTTCAGAGCAAGGCTTTGTGTTCCCCTAATGTAAGGGTGCGTAATATGTCAATCTTAACAGCTGTTATGGAGGCCATTTAAGTTATATCACATAACTTCTGTCACGCTGTTAGTGACATACAAGGTGGCTCATTCTCACCGTTTTTCTGCAAATACTGTATTATGCAGGCGTGCGAACTGTTTGCATACTCTCGCCGTTAGATGCCGTTAGGCATCTTGGTGAGCGGCGATACACACACGTCTGCATCCGGCACAGCATAACCGAAAGAAAGAACGGTGCCGGTGGGCCATTTTGTATGGCACATTGCTGACTAGCTACGAAACAGCACTCAGCCAATTTTGCAGTCGATGCACTTACACCTTAATTGCAAGCATTTAATCAATTTTTTCATAATCAAAACTGTTTAAAATTTGCGAACAAGAAGCAAATAAATCACTTAACCAGTCAATCAGGACATTTTACGACAACAGCTCTTAGATGCTAATAGACATTTTATGAGTTGTAGCATTTTATCGGTACTTGCACTATATCGGGCTCCAGAGCCGGTCTACCGCATAATTGTACAATGCCTTTGCCATATTTACCATGACATGTTGAGACATTGCGCCTGATTTTTTAAATGTGCTGCACAGGTGCCAGCCCAACGCCCCAGCATCGCGACCGATCGCATTCGCCGAAAGCCGCGTCTCAAGGGCGTAACTCGCTCCATCAGAGACATCGCAGTCCAAGCCTGAGTCCTGGGTGGATAGATGCAGAGGCGAGAGGTGGACACCGAGCACGCCATACGGGACCCCACGTGGGGTCTCATGAAGGGGTTCATCCGGAGCACCGCGGTGGTGCACGCAGCCAGAGTTTGGCACCCCAGGAATATCTACATGATGACGTGAAACAGCCCCTAAGAGGCACGGGAAGACAGCTGCCTCAGATGCATGGTGACAGGGTCCATAGGCATCACAGCCAGGCTCAGATCCATGCTAGACCTGTCCAACAGCCGCGGCGCTCCCAGGTAAAGTCACCAGTTATACTTTTAATGGAGCTTTCCTAGATTAAGTGTTTGTGACAATCAGTGATTCCTAATTCGAACATTTTATTGTAGGAGTCCTTGCAATCTTCAACCCCAAAGTACAATTTTCCAGTAAACCGTTTTTTACTTACTCGAGATCCAAAAGACCGATCTGTGGCAGGTGAGAGGGACTGTACGTAACTACGTTACCTACACCTTCACTCAATTTCAGTAGATATTTTGCCACCGTGAGCGCGTTTTTTACCTTTTCTTCTTTGTTGTTCAGGGAACGGATTGGGAATGCGTGTTATTGGTGGAAAAGAAATTCCAGGATCGGGAGGAGTTCTCGGAGCGTTTGTAGCGCGAATCTATCCTGGAGGGGTGGCTGACCGCGCTGGAGATATTCGAGAAGGTATTTATTTTATATCTGCAAGCTGCATGCCCCAGTTTTCCTTTTCTGCTGATTTCCGCACCCGTTCTTTTGACACCCGATCGCCCGAAAAGCACTCAGCACGGTCTAAAATTTAGCTGATATATGCACAACGGATATTTTTGCATTACGTTCAAAAGATGTGTTTTGCCGGTTTTCTGCATGAGTACTGTTTTCTTATCTTCTAGTTTTTCAAAATTACATATGAAAACTCTGCTTCTCTTCAACGAGTTGTTCTCACACGTAATAGAATAAGCCCTAGTACTTCAAATTGCCTTTTAATCAAACATTTCCCTAGGGTGACGAAACGGAACATTTGGTGTCTGAATAAGGACCGTTACATTACCCCCCACCCCACTCAAAAAATATCTATCATGGATCAATCTTGAAAGCTAATTTTAAGTACGTTCTGTGTTCCAATCAGCCACATAATTACTTTATTCTTTCAATTCTGCAAGGATCGAAGTCAGCGAGCAGTACGAAATCTGTGGACGTTTATGTGCTAGGGAAAAGGCCGATAGACACCAAAAGTTCAACGTTTCACTCACGTTGCCTCGCCTCGAAAAATGTTCGTCGTATCTGTAAATTTTCCTGTGTGTTTCTTAAAAGTGCGTTTTTGCTTCAATCGACGCGTTTTTTCTTCGCTTACAACTGTTTAGTTAAAACTTGTACTACTCTTCATAGACAATTTAATTAGTGAATATGTAGTTAACGAACTGGAACAATAAGTTGGCCTATTTCGGTCCACGCCCCAGTCAAATTAGGCAGTATCTGTGTATTAACAATCTGCCAACAGAATTTGGCGAGATGTCTCAGATTAGATTTGCGCATGCTTCCAGGTGACCAAGTCTTAGAGTGGAACGGAGTTTCTATGACCGGAAAGACGTTCGAGGAGGTACAGTCCATCCTGGCTCAAACTCAGACCGTAGAAGAAGTCGAAGTAGTAATAAAAAGGTGAGCAAGAGAATCCGCCATGAAAAATGGAAATATCATACAAGGTGGCCCACCGACCTCTTCCTTTATTTTGCTTACACTGTACCACTTGCAGTCGTGTGGGTGGGTTGCATACTCACACGGAGCCATAAGGCTCGGTAGTGACCGATGGTAGGCACGCCCACCCGCACGTCACGGCTGCATGCGGTACAGTATACGCAGAATAAACGAAGGGGTGTGTGGGCCACACTGTATACGTCGTTTAACCACTCACATCACTTGCCTTATGTCTGACTTAATCAATATTCAAACTGAAGCAATGAGCAATGTGAACTGTGAACACTGTGAAGATCCCGTGAGATTATGATAACCTCTTTTGGAATGCACAGCCGGCACTGCTCTTCCCGCTCCGGCTCTGCACCGCGACTCGACGTAGACCAGGACAGAGACAGGGATCGTTTGCGGCGGGGGAGCAGCCGACACTCCCTGGACATGAACGGAAACGCCAGCGTCAGCGGCAGCAGCAGAGACCGTCACGGCAGTTCGTCCACGCACGGTGCGCAGCGCTACCCAGTTTGTCAATTTTATTTGCTAAGTTTTGAAGTTACCGAAAAATAATTGATGTCTTTCCGCAGATGACGGACGGCGGAAATACTCCGACGCCGACGCCCTTTCCGTCGGTACGGCTGCTACGGAGCCGACTGGTGGCAGCGGGCACCGAGGTAGTTCAGTTACGGGTCTAGGGGAGCTAAGCCTGCAGGTAGGCAGTAGACTGCGAAAATACTTGTCGGTTTCGTACTCTCTTGTTTTGGAAGGAGATTTTTTAAAATTTGACACTTATTTGTTCTTGAAGGTGTGCTACGACAAGCAGGCACATATTTTGTACTTAATTGTACACAAAGCGCGGAATTTGCCTCAAATTCACAGTCAGGGAAATATGATACCTCCGGACCCTTACGTCAAAGTCTATTTACTGCCCGGCAGAAAGTAAGCAGATACCCAAACCTTTGGTTATAAACATATGACATAGGCTTCTCATAGTGCGGCAAGAGAACGTTGAACGTTTGACGCCCAACGTTCCCCCGTGCCACCTGTGGGGTCGTTCGTTGAGGAAACACCTTTATGTCAATTAATTGGTATGTTTCACCACTGTAGTCTGGAGAACCAGCGCCGAACCAAAGCATGTTCACGGACCCAGGAACCCGAATGGAATCAGACAATGGTTTACGAGGGTGTTCCTCCTGAAGAGCTACCAACGCGATACCTTGAGGTCACCACCTGGAACTATGATGTGTCCAAGCCAAACCCTGCCATGGGTGGCGTGCTACTAGACCTTAGCGGTAATTTTTAAAAACAACGTCAAAATTTAGATAAATTACCTTGTGAAAAGAAATTTAACGTCGTATTCTTGTTTTAGACACGTCTGTGCTGGACGAGGAGCCTGTGTGGTACACACTTATGGACGGGCCAGCCCTGCAAGCAGCACTATCGAGATTGACAAGCAAACGGACAGGATCCGTTTCGACGTCAATCTACGGTTCAGGGACAGGTTAGTGGCTGGCTAGCCGGGTTAGATGCAGTGCCATAATTGCTGGTCTACACTTGCAATATTTTTGAGAAATATTATGGAAAGGACTCAAATGAACTAGAAACGGCGCGCCTCCTAAGGTATCAGTAACTTTCTGCCCACGTCTGCTCTCACACGTGATCTGTCACCCCACTTCCACTGTTTCCTCTCACTCCCATCTCTGCTTGACAGAATATTTCTGGGCGTTTTCTAGGACGTGTGAACCCTCTATACGGTTTCTCTTATTTTTGACCTGTCCTTACCCACGAACCACGCGGGCTGTCTAGTGTGGTTTTCGTAGCACATGCGTTTTGCTTCTTTTTTTAAAATTTTCTTTCGTCTAGAGGGGATGGACTCGGTGTTCGTTTGCTCCCAGCTTATTAGCAGGAAATCATTTATAGGTTTTGCTTACCGTCAAAAAGTTGACCCTTTATCGCAGAGGTGCAAGCAGGCTGCAAGAAATGGCGTGAATATTCTCCCCTAATCCAATTGCTCCGTGACGTTTTGGTTTATTCTTTTTTAGGCCCATATTCGCCTCTTCTCTTGCGCGCTATGTCTTTCTTTGACCACCTATTTCATCTGAGTGGAAACTGAACGGAAGGTAATGTACCTGATGTGGTCCGTTAGAATGCGTGCCTCGACCCGCCGAGTGAGATACCATTGCCTTGCACGCAACACGACATATGGTCCATATCCTAGCACCTCTTGCTCTCACAAAAGAGGGAATGTATCGTTCAGCCACCTTTAATTGCTTTCAAGGCTGATAAAAATGAAGCTAACGAAGTAATTTCTTGTGTTCATTTGCAAATTGGAAGCAACGAGCGAATCCAGTACACTTTTCTTGCTAAAAAAAACAACGCTAGTTAATGGGGAAAAACAATACTGTTGTGTGGATATAAAACATGGCCACCCATATCGGCCTGCGGTACCTCACTGGACTGACTCGATGTCTGCATGGGCGACCGTTCGGTTCGCGACGCTGCTCGCTAGCATGGGACTCTAGATTTCATAATTGTAATGGTATATCAGTGTTTTGCATCCTCGTTGCAGCTTGTCCCCTGCTCGCACCCCTGCGATAATTCCCCAAACCCTTTCTTTCCTGTAACTTTTTTGCATGTTTGCGACCAGAAACATCCTCATAATGTGAAAGACTAAGAGCAACCCGTCTTAGCCTTTGCATCTTAAGAGAAGGTTAGAACGACCCTCCTTTTTAATGCCTGCGATATCTGATTACAACCCTCGGCCTGTAGTCGTTCTTAAACCATTCGGCTGATGAATTTTCATGCCTTGTGTATGTATACTGTCATTCCTTCCCTTGCCCTTACGCTAAAGAAAATTATGTAGCTTACCGCCTTTCATCCCTTTTTGACAAAAATTTTTGGTGTTGCATCTTTTTTCTTTCTTTTTTGAGGGTAATGAACGGAAACTTGTCATGCTTTTGACAAACAATACTTTTAGGAGGAAGAGGTGCAGACATAAACTCACGTCCTGACTTTTATATTTATGTTTTACTTTCTTAGTAATGTGTCATATGCTTCGCTGTGTTTGACACTTTTTTATGATACGTGTTTGTTACGGCCGCAGTGAAGTCGAGGATGGCTTCTCGCAATCCTATCCTGTCCACGGCGGCTACCATATCGGGTGCCCACCCTCTCGGCTCACATGGCTGCCACGGTGGCTTCTGCTGCATCCTGTAACGTGTGTGCCACTGCAGTCACTTCACTGTGATTGTTGATGTGTGTTGTGTCCGTAAGTTTTTGTGTTGTCCTGCCTCTTTTCATTCCAAAAGTAAGCCTAAAAGTGCAGAAATTGATGTTTTATGTGAAAAACTGGCCTGAAACTCTTGTGTCTCTAAAATCATAATATTCTACTTCATTCCAGTTTCTGTCTCGCTGATCCACGAATTTCTTCGGAATACTCCTACTCTTCGAACCGATTTCGTGCCTTTTTACTGAGTTTATAAACGTCTAAGACGTGTAAGACTGTGTAGCTGCTTAGGCATTAAGCTGTGTACATATTTGTTATACATTTGCGTATCATATACTACTGTCCGTGATGGACGAATGCGCTATGCGAGACCTACACCAGTCAGTACTGATTCCCTTTAGTCCTGACTGGTTTATTATATCAAAGTGTTCATATCCTGTTAAATTTTGCCATATTTTTATTGGAGTTTATTTTTTCTTTGTTGTATTGAACTTGTTTTCATATCACCTCCACCACTAGGCTTTAATTTGTTCAACCTGTTATGTTGTGTGTTTATATCATATCTTTGTGTATTCTGAACTGTTATCTGGGTTATTGCTACTTAAAGTACATACAGAAATACGTCTTATTTTTAAAACATAATCGTCTCATTTAAATGATATGCGTGAATTAATGTTCGTTTTGTCATTAAGTTAATTAGTTTAGATCGTTTGAGAAAGCTTTACGAGACTGCTGTTGTGTAGTAATGGTGCTTGAACCGTGACTTCAAAACGAACACATAAGAAAGTGGACAAATCACTTTGTATTACGGTAGGCACGCAGGACTTCAAAAAGATGTTTTCTTGCCACTTCTACATATCATGTGTGTGAACGTTTTTGTTTATGAGTTGTGCGGTCACCAAGCAATATTTAATGTGTATTGCAATTCAGATTATTGCGTTTTCAAAATTCCTTGAACGCAGATTGAGAGTTTCTTCTTCTCAAGTATCCTACTTAAGCCGTTATTTCTTTGCTAACTTTCCTACGATACATTCAAAAATAATTTTCTCAATTTTGTTATCTTTCCAATCTATTTGTGCCTTTCATTACGTGTGTTGATCTAGAAAATTGTTTGTTCTGATACTTTATAAATCATGTTCACCCTCTCTTAGAATTTAACACCAGCTGGGCTTTGTTTATCTTTCGCTAGTTGTGAAGTATACTGTCACACAACTGTAGGGTGTTTCCGAAAAAAGGGCTGTGAGTCGTTGATTTTTGGGCGATAGTCTAGGTCGTACGAATGGGAAACGCCATGGTCTGTTTTTGTCCACGAGCAACCGAACAAATTCCTTTTCCCCTCACCTCACCTCTCACAAATCAGGTGAATTTCTTTAAAGTATACAGAATTGGGTGCGGTCCACCGCGGCACGATCATTCCGCTGTGAAATGATGGCTCATCAGAAACTTACCCTGAAATTTTCTTACGAAATGTAGAACTTAAGGCGACACAGTTGCGCGAGGAGTGGAGATAGGGCAGTCCGAGCCCCAGCCAAAAGCCACTAATCAATGATCAACAATGATTTCTGATATTTTAGCATACAATACTGATTAGTTTTTGGAGTAGACGCGTGCCTAAAAATCAACGACGCGTCTTTAATTTTTTTTAACGCCCTACCAAATTAGAACGTCTAAAGGTAGGACATCTCTGGAAAAAAAAATGGACGAAAAGGGAAAAGAAACGAATGTCATAACTGGAAAAAAAGTTTAGATCATCAATAATAGTCTATGGACTTTCTTCAATTATTATTCATTTATGCATTAATTCGCTGTTAGCAAGAGAGCCCGGTGCCCCTAACACTAATAGTTCGACAATAAATACCATTTTCATAATGTTTGTGCTTTAGCGGACTTCCTTCTCACGCTAAATTTCTTCGTTTACTACGTCTCTGCTGCCAAATATTTTTAACTCTTCACACTGTAAGTACAAAAGCATAATAAAATGTGAAAGCCTACCAATCGTGTGATAACGTGGGTTATACAAAATCCTTCAAAATTCTTGAACAAAACCAAGGTGGTTCCGTTTTACGGCACAACTTATTGTTATTATTTTATTATTATTATTATTGTAAAAAATGTGTGTGTAACAACTTATTACGAGTAGGACGTTAGCTAGGTTTTAGATTGTGCCGTGAAAGTTAAGAATGGTCTTTGCTTGAATAAATCTGCATATCCTCATTAAGAGTGGGTTGGGCAGTCCGCAGGCTGATGCTCAATACCTCTACCCCTCTCTTTGCCCGTGATTTTATGTACAGTGTACAATTATCTTATGTATCATATCTTAGGTGTGGCTGTTATTAAAATGTTTATAGACTTTCTGGGAAAGTCTGCCCCGTGATCCCTTATCATAGACGTGTTATCTTTGTGTTGCCAAAATGCTATGAATGAATACTGACTTTTAAAAGTTGACTCTCTTTTATGTATAAACATATATATGTATACGTTTGTTGGAAATGTGTTGTTCAATATCTGGCAATCGACTGTTAAAAATAAATTTTAAAAAAGGTTGTGCCATTACGTGGTTTGTTTCTATACTTTTATTTGCCTTCTTCCTCCGCTCAACGAAGTGTGCACGATAAGTTGCCTACCTGCTAGGCGCGGTGGCTCACAACCGCCTCAGCGCGTACCATGACGAGACGACACGTGGTAGACACAGCTGGCCTTCGCCCCATCCCCCCTTCTTTTCCCCCTCCCCTTCTATTCTTGCCTTTAAATCATAACTTTTTCCGGCTCAGCCTCCTTCCTTCGGATCATTGATCCAATCCCAAGGCGACTCCTCCGGTCAAAGTGTGAGCTGAGGCTTCACGCGCCAGCCTCACTGAGTCGCGTCACGTCCCCAGTCTGACCCCAGCAGTACTACGCGGACCGCTGAAGCGCGAACCTTGCTGGGAAGCTCTGCAAAGATACCAGAGAAACCAGCAAGGCTGAGGCCAAGTGCAACGACTAGCTTCTTGTCGTCAATAGAGCGAGTCCTGAAGGCAGAGCGCCAGCCATGAAAAAGGTAAGTACATAGTTTTAAAACCATGCACTTAAAAGGGATTGTTCGTCACCATTCTCATGGTTCAGGCGTTAAATATTATATGAAATGGCATGAGTGTTCTTCAAAAAGTAAAATCGGATTGCAGAAATACGGTGAGTGCATGAGCTTAAGTGCAACAGGTCAACGTTACAATTTTTCGTTCCGCAAATGCATTGATTTTTTGCACAAAGATACTTAACAGGAATTTATCAAAGTAGGGTTCCAAGCCAATGAGCGAAGCGAGCGAAGAGTCCCGCAGTACAATACGTGTTTTCTGTAATGAATGAGCCTCACCGCAAAGCAAGTGCATTGTGCAGTTTTACTGCGCCTTCTCTTAACAAAAGACAACCATTAATCCAGGCTCTGAAAAAATTGAACCTTTGCCTATTTTTTTACTCAGTATTTATTGGGAATTTACAGTGTACGCGATCGCCTTGTAGGTAAGCTACGCTAAATATTGTCTCTGTACGCAGACAGTGTGTACGCCAAAGTATGCCTAACTCGACAACCTCCCGCCCGTGAATGTCACACTTACTTGTTGGTATTAACAGTGTAGTGCAACTTTCTTCACCTGTCTGAGTCGCCGTTGACGAGAATCCGAACAAAATGTGCGAACATTTTTGAAAATTTTGGGAAGGCAAAATAGCTGCAGGGAATTTTGATGGTGAAAGCTGACAGCTCTCGCCAAACACTGTGAAAAATAGTTAAACGGGAAAAGTTTCGTGGTAGGTATTGATATAAGCTGGACGAGCTAACTTTCTAGTTCTCGCGGCTAAGCTCATACCCGAAGTGCACTCTAATTTTCTTACGCACTCGCTTACGGATAATTTTGTGCAAGCGTAATATGGATCAAATTTACCTGTAATACAGATGAAATGGTCCGTAATATGGATGATTTCATCCGTATTATCAACAATGCTAGGTTTGTCACTTATGGAGAAATGAATATTTTTTCTCCGTAACTTACGAACCAAGCTGTCTTGATAATACGGATAAAATTGTCCATATTACGGTTGTTTTCATCCGTATTACAGATAAAATGTGATCCACATTACGGTTGCACAAAATTATCCGTAAACGAGTCCGTAAGGAAATTAGAGTGTGGTTGGTCAGTACCTAGGATGGTGAAAAAGTCAGCTGCTAGAGCTAATTTTACCACCTATCACGCATCCAGCTAATATGTTTTTAGCGTAAACAGTATATACAAAATATTTCGCAAATTTGTGAAATTTGTGGGGATATTTTTCACAGTAAAAGTGGAAAAATAAAAGAGACACAAGAGTCTTCAAGATAACTTGGCTTCTCGACACGGTCGAGACCGTGAAATACACTGGGAATGGGATTGGGATCAGTCTCCCCGCATGCTCGGAGATGCTTCGATAAGTGTCGGAAAGAAAACAATTCCCCAAGGCCCCCCACCCCCACTCCCTGACTGTTTCTCCTCTCTTCTCACCACGCTAACAGCAGGTTTAAAGTTACCATGACATCCAGTAACAGAATATCTTGTTCTCTTATTTAGATTTTTTATTTGGCGACCCTCGTTGTCCTGCTTGGACACGGAGGATCTGCTCTAGCCGCAGAGTTTTCTGCTGCAGAGGTAAGATTTCAAAGTCATCTGTTAGTACTGTAATCACTGCACTTGACTATTGACTACATCCTGGGCTGGGCGTACTGCTCTCAGTCTGAGGCCGCCCGAGATGGCCTGCTGGAGGCGCTGGGTGCCGCCGTGACGAGCGGCGCCTCGCGGCTGGACGAGCTGGACCTACCGCCGTCCATCTCCGAGTCTGTGCGGCGCGTGGCCTTCGTGCGCGTCGACACCATCAAGGAGGCCAAGAACATCAAGCTGGCGCGCATGGGCACCCTGCACCGCAGCGGCACCATCGGCGCCGACCCCATCGCCGCCGGAAAAGCTGTGACCTTTACCCTGCCTCTCGAGATGGACAAGCCCTTCCTCACGTGAGTGTCACGAGTGCCGCAATACACTGCAAAAATATGTTGTTAAACAGACGGATTGCGTTCGTTACAAATGCATTTTGGGATTTGAAAAATCAGTATGTGTACCCGGTGTCCCGGCTCTTACATGCCAGTACGTTGGGTTGCCTATGCACTGGGCTGGGAGCAGGGGCTGCAGGCGCGGGGTGGGTGGCGGAGGAGTGAGGGGAGCTGCCACTCCTCCGCCACCCACCCCGCGCCTGCAGCCCCTGCTCCCAGTGCATAGGCAACCCAACGTACTGGCATGTAAGAGCCGGTACACCCGGTACACCTTGGCCGTGATCCATTAGAACTTGCGCTGTCAAATCCTTACGGTGTATTTCACCGTAAGCTGCAGCGACCCTGCAGCACCGTGGCCTACGGTTAATTTTCAGTGTAAGCTACGGCGAACCCTTGCAGCACCGTAGCTTACGGTAATATTATTCATCGTAGCCTACGGTGATATTCGCCGTAACAGTGTACGGTGGAAATTGACCGTAAGCTGCATTGCTGCAGGGTTCGATGTAGGTTACGGTTAAATTCACCGTATGCTTTTAACAGCGTGGTGAGAAGGCAATGAATGTCACCAAGTTCTCCTCTCAACTACAAATATCTCGCTATGAGTGCAAATTGTAATTGATTTATATAAGTACAACAACTAAAGTACACGAATTTAGAACACGGCATCCTGGGTGCAAATCAGGGTTGCTATTAAAGTAGGCAAAGACTGACCCAACACACAGCTGTGTGGAGCGGTCGGTATCTACGCCTGCCTACTAAGCAAAACCTCAGCACGAGCATGAAGATGTTGCCTTCTAGGCAGGCGTAGATACCGCCCACTCCACACAGCTGTGTGTTGGGCGGGTTTTTTCCTACTTTTGTGGGAAAACTGGTGCAAATGAGCAGAGCATTGCAAAAAGGGGTTCCCTGACCGACCGTCTCTCGCCGCTTCGGTCAGTCACAGAATGCCTTTTTGCAATGCTCTGCAAACGAGGGCGCCCGGTCGATTGCGGGCATGAGCTAGGTCCCGTGGGTTCAGCGGTCGATTGCGGGCAGGATCTGCATGGCCAGCGGATTACCCGGAATTACCGGAGCCGGGTCCGGGGACCGAGAGGCTGCCCGCTGAGGGCTACGGCGAGCGAACAGCCTGCAGCCAGCCAAATTTAAATACAGTTTGTTCTTGAACTTGACGTACTTGAAGTACACCGGCCGGTCGCCGGTGTACTAGAAGCAAACCAAAACTAACAAACCTAACTCAGTACAGAAAATTGGTAACGGTATATTAGATAACGATCTGTCTCGCGAAAAGTGTCTTGGTGACCTGTCCACACTCGTCGTGCATGCGGTATAGTATAACAATGAAAGAGCGCGACGTGAGTCAGCCACCTGGAATATAATAAGTGCTGAATTTAACTTGACGGCGTATTTGCAAAGTTACGGAATACACACCTTACGGTATAGACCGTAATTTCTAAACTTGCGGTCGAGCACCTTGAGACAAATAGACGGGAGCGTACCGTGGGTATTTACTGTAGGATTTTTTCAGTGCACGTGCTCACGTTTGTTTAATTTTCAGCAACAATCATCTGACCAGTTATGTTTTTCGTCCCTACAGCGGGGACTTAGTGCGCAAGGTAAACGACGTAGGTCCCACGGGGCACTTTAACACGACCATCGGCGTATACCGACTGGAGGCAGAGGGTTCGGCCACAGTGGACCGCGATGCCTGCTCCTTCAATTTCACCAGCATCAAGGACATCGAACTGAGCGAGGTAGACACCGTGACTGAGGGCGCCTCGCTGCTCAACAGTCTGCTCTCCAAGGAAATGTCAGACGCCGTGCGCGGCGGCTCGCTACCGCTGCGAGAGCCCGTGTCCAGAGCCATCCTGGAGGCACTCCAAGCCTCCGACAAGAACTGCCTCCCGAACGTGCGGGACAAGCTGGCCAAGGTGCCGGCCCCCGCCCCTCCACCCGCCTGAGACGTTTTGAAGAAGTGCTATCACAAC